GCATATGAGGGAATGTTCCTGAGTTGCGTATGTGTAGCGGGTGAGTCCCGGCTCCAACGTGAACGACGTGTTGCGCCAACTATCTGCCCGCCACCTGTCCTCTCCCTCTAGTCCGACGTTTCCATACACCGAGACTGAAAAATGCTCAATGGAATGAGAATAGGAACATGGGGCCGGCCGGGGTCGCTCGAGGCCATAGCTAAACAGAGCCCGTGGCCAGGTAGCCATGAGTTGCGTAAAATCATCAAAACAAAACCAAAAAAAAAAAAAAAAAAATGGACTGTGGAAAACTCGCCAGAGAAAGTACACATGTGTTTAGTACGAGCCTGCAGTGCTCATAACGCCTCCACGTGTACCAGGATTGCTCTTTAAGAACTTACGCAGTTAAAATTGAAGAAATATACAGGAAGCGCCCAGAGCCACAAAATGACATTAACAGCGCCACCTGCCTCTACTATGTATTTTGGTGACCTCAGGCAGGCAGAACTGCAGAGCTGGCCACTGCTATTATAGTGTTTCTACATGGGTATTTCTGAATCGCTTTGGGCAGTATCTCTTTCTGAATACACAACTATCAAGGGAAGTCTGGTTTAGCTGTCGGTAAGATGCGTGTGATTTGTGAAGGCAAATATGAGTTGGTGAAACATTAGCCTTGTTCACACGGAAACGCTTGAACCGCGATTCGGGTAACTCAATTTTTCTCACAACTGGTCCACGTGCCACACATTCCTTTCAAACTGTGCCCAATCAGGATTCTTCTAGTCGACAGTAGTTGTTGTTTGAAGAAAGCACGCAAGGTAGCATGTTATAATGGTCAGAGGTCAACGACCTGCTTGCTGATGCCCCCCTCCCAGCGTATCTCGGCCGAATGCCGACGTGGTCGTGGTCCCGCCAGAGACGGTAAAGCTCCTCCTAGTACGGACACATTATGCGACCATTACTGCTCTTGAAATTGCTGCCACATATCTTTTGGTATTGCATATAAATAAAGAAATATCATCCCGTATTTTATGACCAGGCGAAGTCACGTTGAAATCACATTGCGTTTAGACAAAAAATCGCGATCAGGGGAAATCGGAATTCGAACCAACATCCCGAAGTGGTTTGGGGATCGAGGCGCTTTCAATGCGACTTGGAGTGTTCGGATGGGGCCGATTGCAACCGGCTTTGGTTTAAACAACATTCATTGATTCCGTCTGAACAGGGCCTTTGAGGCTCGATAGAGGCGGGTCTCTGATAAAGTTAGTCATGCGTATTGGACACATTAGTGTGAAACATGGTCCCTGTATTCAGGAAAAGAAATTTTTCACATGCGTAGCCTACGTAGAATTCTGAAAATTAAGTGGAATGATTATGTCACTAATGTAGACGTTCTCACACGTGCCAATTAATCCATGTATGTACACACTGCTGAAAAAGCGCCGACTCTGCTGGCTTGGACATGTTTGCCGTATGTCAGACGGGAGAATTCCAAAGGACCTGTTGTAACAGTGAACTTGCCAACGGGACAAGAGCACGTGGTCATCCTCACCTGCGCTTTAAAGACGTTATCAAACGGGACATGAAAGACATGGACATAGATACTAACACATGGGAGATACTAGAAAAAAACAGGACATTCTGGAGACAGGAAGTAAGAAGGGCTTACAACGGGGAAGAAAAACAGAGACTCGCATCAGAACTGAGACGTTTCAAACGCAAAATAAGAATAAAGTATAGGGTATAGATGTAGATGTAGATGAAGGTCTTTTAAGACCGACGAATGCCTACTACTACTACTACTATACTATTGGACACACAAGGCTTTTATCTTGTATAACGCCTACCACGTATTGTGGCAGGGATGGCGTTTGGATTTACTGCAGCTACAGGTGTCATTTTTCCTTATGTGGCAATGTCTTGGCGGAAAACTGGTTTAAAAAAAATTTCAGGCGTCAGTGGATATGAAGATCGCTCCATGTCCGATGTCATCAGCCATTGTTTCCAGTGCCAGTCGGTCTCAGACTCCACGTGGCTTGTAATAGTCTTATATCACCACATTTTTCTTGTTAATGTCTGTATGCAATTAGCCCTCGGGCATGAATTTGCAATAAACATCATATAATCTATTTATGATAGTGGAAGGAGGTTTGGGCCATGGATTTAGTTTCTTTGTAAGGGACTCAAGGGAGAACTCTGGATCCTTCTTTTGTTCCTCTTTGGGTTTAAGCCAGTTGGTCAAGTACAGGTTTCCTTTCATCGCACATTGTGGAAATGAGACAGCAGCTACGGACTATTATGGGCACATAAGAAGCCAGATTTACCGGCTCCCAGAACATAAGGTACTAGTAATAGCAGCGTTGGTTGGCAGTAACATGCTAGTTCTGCATGAAAGTCTATACTGGTTTGCCGGACTGCAAGTAGACACCACAGTCAAGCTATATTGCAGACGGAAAAAAAAAGAAAAAAAGGCAGGGGCTATTTCAGAGGTGAGAAAAAAAACCCATTTCAAATTTCAAGTACAGATACAGGTAGCCACTTGTGATACAAAGGGCGTATTAGAACATTTTTGATGGTAACATCCGGTCGATAAAACTGTGAAAAGGCAGATTTGAGAGTTGGGGAATTTGAAACAAAAGTATTGAGAGACAAGTATGCAATGCCTCTCCTGCCTTTTATTGAGGAACGATAGACTGTCCAGCGTTTTATGTGCGTATGTACTTAGTGGGTCCATTCCGTTTTCAAATTGCGGGGGAAGTTACAGAGGGAGCACTTCCATATTGTCCGTGCTAGAGTAAGGTGCGGATGGGTGGGGTGCGTGGCGTACCCTAAGAGGTGGTATGCCAAGAGCAAGAAGATGTCTGGGCGGCCTATAGCTATATGACAAATTTTATTCAATACAGGCATCTAACCCCTGGGACTTGAGTTCGTCCGCGCCCCGATCTGGTTGCTGTACTTAGGGCCATTGTGTCCCAGTCTGCTATATTTCTTTGAAAACTTAGAACTTAGTAGTTGTTGATCACACCATTTCCATTGTTTCTCGGTCTGTAGGTTTGAGGGGGTAAGATGTGGGTACGTTAGATTTGGGAAATCCAGCAAGGGCTAGGACGGTCAGATCCCGGGCTCGCCCAGGGCAAGCTATCCCAATGTGCAGAGACGAGGGGGAGTTACAGCCGCAGTAGAAGGGAACGGTTTAGAGACTCGCCTCTAGTTGACATTTGGGCCATGAAGCTTGAAGGGGAAGCTATCTATACTTTGGGACAGTTGAAGCTAGCTCTTAAGCAATAGAGGGAGTTGAACTACAGGGAGGCATGTCGTAGCTGGAGTGGATTGAATAGGCGGCTGCGATGCCAAAGAGTCGGTAGTTTGAGGATCGGGGATCTGAAAGGTAAGGTTTGGGGATAACTAGATAAGGTATGGGTGAAAGGAAGAGGAGTGGGGTGCGCTGGGAGTTGGTCGGCGTGATAAGATCGAGAAGATGTACACGAAGGTGAGACCACGTAGGACTTTTCGGTCCCCAATCCTTAACCTTCTAATTCCTCCGGAGTTTCACCCGAGGTCACTTAGGATAATGTACTATTCTAATTGAGGCACGAGGACGCTCCTGACCTGGTTTCGCGTCGTTAAGAGGCGACACCTGGTCGGGAGCAGTCCGCGTGCATTAATTAAACACCTGGACATTATCACGTGTCCAGGGAATCCTTTATAAGCCCGTGAGAGCGTGTTTTCCTCCCCTTTCGACCTACGACGGAGGCGACGGGAATGTGCGGGATAGAGAGCGAGAGATATTAAGGAGGCGGACGGGGGGTGGGGGGGATGAGTGTCGTCGGAAAGATGACGGAAGGTTGAAAGTTTCTAATACCCACCCGCCCGCCCTCTTTGTCTCTGTTCAGAGACCGCTTGATGACCCTTCGGGCGACACTCCGGACTTTTCGGTCCCCAATCCTTAACCTTCTAATTCCTCCGGAGTTTCACCCGAGGTCACTTAGGATAATGTACTATGAAATTGCAACATGATGTAACCCAACACCATTCACCATGGTAAAAGATATCAACAAATTAGGTCATTGTCAAGGTCAGAGCTTACTGTGTGGAGAAGAAGAGGAAAAAAGTGAGCAAAAACAGTATGTTTTACTTCGGTAAACATAGTATAAATTGGGTCATATATACGTATCAGGGCACTCAAGATCATCACAAGACAGAGACGGTGGACGATATAAAGTCCCTGGCACGTTCGATCAATTGCTGACGTCACGTATCCGTAAAGTCTCGTGTGAACAAGGCCACGTGTCTACAGCTTTAACTCTCGCGAGATCACGTTGTGAAGTGATTGGTCATTAATTATCCCTGATAAAGGCGATAGCGGTCGATGAAAATTTGATCCTTGTGTACCACCATATAACCAAAGTCATCCCCTTGTATTCACTTAGGCCACACCGACTTAATTTTATGGATGACATCCTCTGAAGACCCCCAAACTAGTGCGCGCGGGCGAATAAAAAAAAATCGACCAAAAATAAAAATGCTACTAAACCACAGGAATGCAAAGCTGGTATGCGACGTCCCTCACCGTCCCACAACTCCTGACAGCAGCCCAAGACAGGAGGACCTGGCTATATTCCTGCTGCAAAGTCTGCCTTGTCCCCCCGACGACCAGTGTCGGTCATGGGACTAGGTAGGTAGGTAGGCATAGCGACGTATACGACAAGCCGGTACATGCCGGCTTTTTGCGGAATTTATGAATCGGCACTGTACGTATGTATTGAGTTGTGGGGCTTCGGTAGCCTGGGTCCTGGATGCCATCCTCCGTAGTTAGCACCGGCTCCGTATAACTCCGCTAACTACCATCGACTACCCAGGCCTAGAGCCATGCCAGAGCCTTGGAGGAAGAGACCTTTTTTTTGAGAACAGACGAAAATCTATGCGCGCGCGGATGTCATCCATAAAATTAAATTGGTGTGGCCGTACAACGATAAAGACCTAAAATTCGGAACTGTTTAATACGTCATATCATCACCCACCTTCCTGAGTCTCTCTTCCCTGGCCCTCCTCCTGAAGCGACACCTAGCGGCCGCGTCTCTGTTCTTCTCTCTCCGGTGTCTGCAACTTTCCTCGTCCTTTGTAATCGTACTCATCTTTGTTTGGCATAGAAAGGAAACAGAGCGTTCAAAATAAGCATCACATTTCTGCTAATCTTTATACCGTTTATTTATTTATTAATCTTTGCACCAAAGAAGGGGACGTCGTGTGGCGTAGCGGCAGTATGCTCGATTCGGAACCAAGAGGTCCCGAGTTCGAGTCCTGACATGCCACCGATCTTTTAAGTTGTTAAATTACATGACTTTTCTCACTTATTCCCAAGTGAAAATGAGTATTGTCTTGTCCTGTATTCGTCCTCTGCGTTGGTGGTGGCATAGAATAAGTTGATATAACTTGAGTGTACCGTCACCATGTCTTAAGTCATGAAATATATTTTTGAGCTGCCCGGTTTTTTTGAGCGGTCAGTGGTTTGTTAGGTATACAAATACTAGTCACTTGAATACAAGAACATTGCGAGCTACTAGATATTAAGGTATTGTTCCATGCTGGAAAAGGAACGCTCGTATCACTTTCATAATCAATGAAATGTTCTACCAATTATTTCCATGACAGTTCTCACGGTGCACTTTCACTTTCGCTTCTGGTAAGTAAGGTCTGTTTGCGGCCGAATACATACCTGTTCTGATGATACCGTCTCGGATGGTGGAAAATCTTGGGAGTCCCTCGTCACTATTTCTTCTTCACCCCCTTTCGCAAAATGGAACGAGCACGGATGAGTTGTAGAGCCGGGCTCGCGGTGTTGTTGAACCGCCGTGAAGTGCACATCGCTCTCCCCTGCTAGCAGATTAGGAGGGGGCAGTTCTGGAACCTTCTCAATATGAGAGTTTCCTGACATTCTGTACAGTCAGTGGGAGCTTGACTGCAACAGTCCTAGGCAAGATTGCTAGTTATACCTTATTCAAAGACTTACGTCTTCTACACATGGACGAGCTTCTCGATACGACTGGTACTTTCCACTGCACCGCACACCTTGCTATTTACGGCACTAGGCTTTGTACGCTGACCTCTGAAAAGGGGGATTCCCCGTTCGCTGACGTTCTACTCTTGCCTGCGTACTAGTAGTACACTGGCATACTGTATCCCCTATCCCTTAACCATTTTTCTCTGACCTAATATATACATGTTTGCATGTTTGTGTGTGTTGAGGGTGTGTGTGTGTAATAATGTGTGCGTGTGTATGTGCCTGTGTGTTTGTGCATGTGTGTGTGCCTAAGGCAAGCGTGCGTGTGCGTGCGTGACTGTCAAAAATTTACCAAACCAATTGTAATTTGACCATTGTCTGAATAAGGGAACCTGATAAGCTATTGCAACGTGTTTGAATACCTGGCTAGAATGTACCAGGCGGAAAACCCCTATTCGGTAACGTGTTCGTGTATTTAGGGTATTTCCAGGTTATTTCATCTTACACTACAAGGAGCAAGCCTACAAACAAGCTGTTAACATTACCAGAAGAATAGCAGTCAACTATATGTCTACTTACTTGTCATGACTTAAGTCGGGTCTACACTTTAATATATACAGTCAACCTTTGCTTTGTTAAAAAGATTGACAGTTTGCATTTCTTTACAGTAAAACTTCTTGAACTGAATTTTGCTGAACATGCACATGCGTAATACAATTGTTACATATACCAATAAAGCATAATAACAAACATCATTGTAACATATATATATATATATATATATAATTCACTCTACCCATATAACTTGTTATCACTTGGCCATGAACTAAATGTATTTCAACCTTTATGACCTTTTAACTTTTAATATATACAGAATTGTTCATCATTTTCAACCCCCCGACAAATCTAACATGATACAACTTAGCGTTATATAACTCTACTTTACACAAATCGGTAATAAAAACACATAAGTCTGAATCGCCAGCTTCTAGCACGTTATTCTGATATGTCTCCTGATGACCTCCAAATCCAAGATGGCGGAAGGTTAACAGAGTTTGGTGGATCATTGCCAATCTCAGGTTTCCTCGGAAAGTTCCTGCAACTCTAGAGGCGAGAAGTCTCCACTGTGGCACAGTTCCATGTGTTCGACAACTTGTCTTTTGAGATTTCTCAGTTCTAGTTTCAACCGGCCAATCTCCGCACGTAACCCTGAGTTCGAGTTCTCCAGATGTAGTGTTTTCTGCATGGGAACGAGATGTAAACTTCGTCATCACCATACTCATCACTTTGAATGGGCCTTAATCATGATCTATTCTAAATAATGTAACAAATTGGAGGTAATATTTGTATTTTTATGATTTAGAAAATGTCAATGAATAGATACATAAAACATACTTTTTATTACATATTCTTGTCCAAATGAGCTGACCATATGTGGTCTAGATGACGTAAAACATTCTAACGCTAATACTGAAAACGCCTATGTATTATTTAAAACTACACTGTATACCATTGCTCATCTACAGTTTATTGCTGTTTCCTAATATAATAATTAATATTGATTGTGACAAGACTCATTTGTATTGCGTATACCTGCTCCCAGAATAACTATCAAGAGGAAGGCTGGGCGGAGGTATATGTTTATTTTTTTGTACTATTATCATGGAATTGTCCGCGCAACAGTTCTTATCAATAAATTATTCATCTGTGTTGGTAGTTTGTTGTTTTTAAAATCATAACTATTGTTCCAACACAGGGGATTGTTCTCCGGTCTAAAGCTATCGAGCAGTCACTCTAGTCTTCTCCAATAGACTGACCCAGTGTGCCTTGTCACGTGGCTTCTTTGAAGTGTGACGTCAACACTGGGTCAAAGCTATCTGGTAAACGATGACATCCCCCATGTAAATACATGTAGCCTCTTTCACCCCACTTGGGAAGTAGTTTAGGTGAGAACAATCCCTTGTTTTGGAACATTTTACGATTTAACTTTAAACAGAAGACCATCCCGTTGTAAGGCCTTACCTTCCTGAGTGTTTCCGCCTTCTCCTTGACCTTGTGACGACATCTAGCGGCTGCCTTTCTGTTCTTCTCTCTGCGCGTCCTCGCTTTCTCTTCATCTTCTTCACTCAACTAGGTATATTTAAGAAGACAAATACATAGGTTTGTAGTAACGAAATGGATTTAAACCGAGACACACGACTTACAGGGCAAAGGTCACTATTAAGTGAATGCAGCCAAACCAACTGAAAACAGCCTTCTTCTTGGTATGTGTGGATAAATGTTGGCATTTTCCAACTCGAGAGTTATTTCTTTTTCTATTTAGTTGAAAAACTGGCTCATAGACTTGTTTTGGCTGCCTGGTAGAGCTCTAAAAGCATTAGTGTCATTGTTTTGTTTTTGGTGGTGTACAGGGGGGTCAGAGGTCATGATCTCAATGTTTCCATGGATCGTATTTATTATCGCTTGTCAAAATGTGAAATTTTTGGACTAAATTGGACAATTTGGAAGTTGAACTACCTGTCAAAATGAGTTTGCAATAGTTAAAAACTCACAAGTAGGTGCTTTTTGACAGCTCAGTACTTGTAGTTTTAACATAATATTCCAATGGGGTCTAGAATTGGTGTCCTGTCCCCTACAAAATTAATCTAAAAGCGTAGAAGTTTCCAGACGGCATCCGCCATCTTTCTTCAGCTACTAACAATACCAGTCACCTGACCAATAGGTCAAAGGGCAACACAGGGCACGTGACTATAGACTTGTAATTTTACAAGCGGCTGATTTTAAAAGTTCAGTGAAGGTGCAAAAGGAAATTGTTACTCGAGGAACTGGAAATTTTTGGAAACTAGTAGCATCCATAGTACTTTCGTCGGTTACTGACGAAAAGATCTAGAAGTGGACGCTACTTGCAGAGTCTGACAGTGATTTTGTGAGGTTATTTTTTCCGTGGACTCTGGCCAACATTGTACTTTTGTAGCCAGACTGCAAAAAAAAGTCCATAGTATTTTGACTAGATAAAATAACGTTTGACATCAACTGACATAAATGTATGCACAGACAGCACAGCATACACAAAGAACTGTGTGAATGAAACTTGTTGTCAATCTGCGGTCCCTCCCTAACACTCTATTGCATTTTACCCCTTTTCCTGCTGGCATTACTGGCACAATATTTTTCAATAATCTCATGTCTTAATTAGGTCATAGACCCCCAACTTTTTTGCCCTGTGATGGCATAGTTACTTCCACATTCGTTGCATTTCGCTGCGGTGTGATGCGTTGCACGAGAAATACACCCAAATCGTACCTATATAGAGTGATACGTGTATATAGTGGGTACTGTATGTGCAAAAAAAAAATTGTTGGGCTCCGTAGGACAAGGGACAAGACAGCAAACACACGTACACAAACAACCGAAAACAATACCTCCATAATCGATCAATAACGTGTAACAAAGGGGTTGTCTGTACATGCCCATTCGGACGTTAACCGTTGACCGACATTGTGCATGTACTTTCCAGACAGTTTCACTTCCTCTTTCTCGGTGCATTATGGATTCAGTTTCAGGAGTCGGACTTTTTGAACACGCCGGTGTCCAGGGTAGGAGTTAAACACGTCATATTTCGTGCTCAAAATTATTTTAATTCTTTATCTCACTACCAAAGATCTAACACCGTAATTTAAAGCTGGAGTGCAGCGGGAATTTCATCAGTAAGCCACAAAACCAGTGCTTTAGAAATTTTACAAAAATAACTCTATGTAACAATTTGTGTATATTGAGCAAGATCTAAAGTTTGGAATAGGCCGAAAAAATCCTGACACATTCAGAACGTTTTGCCCCTTCTTAATTCGCCGAACTTCATTTAGAACCATTTAACAATTGCAAGGAGATTCATTTTTAACCTCCATCCAATTACGTACGTACGAGTAGCATTTGCCAGCCGCCATGCTAGTAGATTAAAGATGTGTTTTCCTTTTTCCATATCCCTGTAGTCTTACTTCTTCCCTACTGACACAGAACATAATGTTAGGGGGTTACGTCGTACCATCTTGAAGAACTGAGTTATATTTTTTGCTGATATCTATGTGAATTTCAATTAGAAGAAGAAGCAAAATGGTGTAGTTAAACTTCTTCTCGAGTTTTAACAAGGTACGTGTGGATGAAACAAAAGGATAACCATGCTTGATTCCATTTTGATTTTAAAAGCCTGTTCTCAGTTATTTTTATAACCAAACATTTAGAACATCGCATATCATACTTGCCTTTCAATTAAGCTCCTGTCACACATTCAAAAACTTTCCAGAGCACCAGCCGTTCAAGATTGGCTAAAATTTGGGAGCAGTCCAACCAAATTCAGGGCACTACCTCTATTTTTCAACTGACTCGAATTTGAGTAAGATTTGATTCAAATTTGACCATCAACCACTTCCCGACATACTGAACCTCCCACCCACAGCTAGATGTTTAAAAATTTTAATCAGTCGGTTGCCGCAGCCGCAAGTAGGTGGGGTGGGGGGTGGCTAGGGTTCTGGAGGCCATTTCGGCTATGTGTTGCAGGGGCTTTACTAAACAGCTACTGGTTGCCTGCAGACGTCATAATGTTTTTTATACATTCCAACATGTAATCACAAGACGTGGTGACGGCACACTCAAGTTTTTCCAACTTATATTAATGCTGCCACCAACACAGGGGACAATACATGTACAGTACTCATTTTCACCTGAGCGACGTAAGCAAAGTCGGGTAAAGTGCCTTTCCCAAGGGCACAAGATCGGTGGCATGTCAGGACTCGAACCCGGGACGTCTTGGTTCCGAGTCGAGCACTCTGCCGCTGCGCCACACGACCTCACGTCATAATTACCTTTCGCTTTCGGCTATTCCTTCAAAAAACAAAACGTAAGTTCCCAGTTTTACCTGTCTCTGTACTCCACTGTCCGGCGGCTTGTTCAGCATCTCAAAGTTCGGCACTACGGCATCCCTCTTTTCCTCCTGGTCACACTGCTGCAGTTCCTCCGGCTCTTCTTTAACAGAAGTAGATGGGGCCTCAACGTGCTCTAGAGAAGTCAACGGCTGCATGTCCGAGTGTTGTTTCATGGATAGGTCCAGATTTAGAACTTCTCCATCGATGAGAACGAGTGGTGGGAGCTCTGACGTGTTCAAGTTTTTGCAGTCTTCCAGCAGGTCGGAATCCATTTGGAGACCACGGCATGCGCAGCAGCGGCAGTCAGATACTCCGATGATACCGACACAGCTTGGATGGACCGCTACACACACCGCGTTCTGTTCTGAAACCAGAATGTACAATATTATAATACAGCTCATCAGATATGATTTGAATTGTGTTGCCAACGGACGATGAGGTCCTCAGAACATACTAGAATGTTTTAATACATGGGGATTCCCGATGACGAAATACATTACACTCTTGTAACTCGATTAACATTATGAAAGAAAACACAATACTTATTGTTTTGTTTGACCGAGCAAGGTACATATGGTAATATCGTATGACTCTAGTTAATGTAACGTGACTTGAATAAAGAAATTTATGTCATATGGATTGTCACTGACAATTGCCTTTCGTGACCTTTGACCAAGCGCGAGCTGTGAGGAAAAAAAACTCCCAGTGCTATTTTCGGAGCGGGGAATCCCCCTTTCCATCGAGCTGGCTGCAGCTAGCTGGCTGATGTTTACATACACGAATGCGATACTCTGTTGTTGCTGTAGCAAAGGAACGTTATGTTTGTGCACATCGTTTTTGTAAAACACATGCGTTACCAAACAAATGACCAGGCTGTCCAAAATCATAGATGAGTATTAGGAACGTTCTAAACTTAGTCGGATACACGAACACCTGTCTGTAAATGAAGCGAGTGTGGAACAAAATGCGTCACGACAAATTAACATGTCTGAATGTCAAAAAGAACGGGAAAGAAAGGGTAAGAATTTGTAAGCTTCCTCTCTTTTTGGTGCGATTGTCCCCAGTAATTTATTTCATTTTACGTGTTTGCCCTCATCAACACATATTCAGTAACTCAAACCCTCCTAGCAACGGCAATGTTTGGGATATTCCACATGAAAGCGACGGGGTGGGTGGGGAAGTGACTACAAAATAATTCAACGTAAACCGGGGGTTGGGGAGGTTCAAAAAAGTCTGAACCTTGGGGGAAAGGCCAAAACAATAAAAAAGAGAGGTTTTAATGTCTGAACTGTTATTGATTGTAAAAGAAAAACACACACACACACCATATTTAGCAATCACACATTCGCAGGGTTTATGCCAAGGAGAATTAACGCCATTTATGTTGACAAATTCAAGAGGCCCAGGTGTTGTTGTCTGATCTTAGGTATCGACAACAATTGCTAATTACAGATTCAAACAAATCCCGTGGGGTCACCTTGAACCTTGAACGTGGACATAAACGTCAGGTCAGGGGAGTCAAAATATTGCCCGCCTGTATCCATTTGACTGAATTCTGTAACCACTGGCCAGAGGCAAGAGGCCAATGGATACGGCAGGCAGCCAATATGGAGTCCCCTTGCCCCAAAACCTCTGCTTGGAGATTAATTAGTTGCTGTCTCGGCGTTTCTAAACAATAGGTCCTTTCTAATGGCGTATCCATCTTAAGTGTCGACTTTCTTTGCCAATAGCAATTTAATACACCAGCAGACCCGTCCCTAGAATGACCCTGAAACCTACACCGCCCGTGTGTGCTGTACATGTATGTCTGCACAGCAGGTCAAGGCTGATCTCTTATTGAGTACAACTAAAAGCGACGCCCTACCTTTAGAGAAACAGCACTGTATGCTGTCCACTGCTGTTAACACACATGTGCAGCTACATGTCGGTGTCCTACAGGGATCTACATGTACGCAGACGCTAGAGTTGCTGTCAGTTCTCACCACCACGGATACAAAGTACACCCCGGCTGCTATTGATATACAGGGCCTCAAATCAACATGGCAGAAACGGGGGTTCCCCTACACAAGGTTCAATTTGAGTTGGCTTGTGGGTCTGGATTTTGTTTGGAATAAAAACACGTTTTTGTCTGCGGTGCAGTTCCTTAGTGCACGTTTCAAACCTGACAGTGCTCTCAAAACGGAGACCTGGAGCGGGTAATATTACAAGGAATGGCCGGGATTCTGAACACTGTCGCCTTCTTAACCACCGAATGAAACTTCTGCTAGGAGGATATTCTAAACGCACGAAGTTTGGTAATGGTTTCGTGGCACACCACTATTGACCGTACAAATGTTTGGGTTTGGGCTTTTGTTTTTGCACAGGTGACATTTTTACGCCAACCCCAACCCAACCTCCGGCTAAAGTGCCACCCACCCAATAGTGATAAATTCCTATTTAGTGACGTTACCCTCCCACTCTTCCCGTGAAAACAACAGACGTCCTTATTGGTTATCCTGGAACGATTTGAAAGATACAAACTAGACACCCAATGGATAACTATATCCATTTTACTATAACTTCAGGATCTTTGCCTTACTATAACTTTGACTTTTAGCCCCTATCACACATTCAAGGCCATCTCCTGGCAACCAACCAAACAAGGTTGGCTGATGAAGTGTGTTCACAAGCAGTCTGACCAGATTTAGGCAACGCCTACGTATACCTTTCTCTGTCTCTCTATATACGTACATATACTACCCCCAAAGTTGACCAACAGCAAACCAAGGTCAAACCTAATCTCCAAGCAGTGGCATGACAGTCGGAACCTTTTTTCAATGCACTTTAATTTGTCATAAAATAAATCAACATAGCAGAAGTGTAGCAGGAGTACGAACACACTTCTCCTGAATTGCGTGGACTTTCTATTTAAGGACACAAGAAGAAACACAGGGCATTTACTAACATACGGATACACGAATAGGACATGAAACACGAAAAACACTAAGCCTGTATTTAACTATTGTACAGCCGGGTGGTGTAGTGAAGGAATGAGTTACAGTCTTTGTGCCTTTCTTTTTATCGTACTGCCATGTAACCGGTAGATCTGCTTGAAGATAAGGCCGAACCTCTCTTCTATACCTGTATGTGTAAAACATTTTGAAACATCCGGCTGGCGCAGCCGAACACCAGCTATTAAAACCACAGCCGACTGCCTTGCCCCCGACCTCGACTGTTAACCAATGCACATAGCCTTATAAATAAACTACCAGTATATACATGTACTGGCGCCTTTCCAATCTTAGTAGAGTTGATAATTCTGGCGGACAAGTTTACTGACGGTGAATTTTCGCTGGACTTCCTCAAGTTAGTACCCGGACAAAGGCTTAGTACGTTCTTAAACCCGGAAAACTGATTTTTCCACTTGCCTGCAAATAAACACAGCAATACGGATGCCACGCTTCCTTCAGTAGAATATACGTTGGTAGAAAGTTTTCTTCCTATTTTCTTCATTTGGTGGTAAAGTAGGTTCAAGCTTGATGTATTTCGTGTACATCATAAGGCCACAAGGTTTCATGAGCAAGAAAACGCGTACCTGGTAAAGTGTGCCTGTTAGGGTGTGCAGCTTTTCTGAGTCACAACGGTTTCCTCCTTTGAGTGACTCAGAGGTATTCCCCGAAAAACACAAACAAACATTTGGGACGCGTTGGTGGGACCCAGTATGACGTAGTAGGAGACGTAAAAGGATAAACCCCATATATGCTGAAAGAGTCAAGAGTCCATGCGTCGTCTATAATTATAATATAATTTAACGGCTCTTGGTTGCAAATGTGCTGATGTTGACACATTGGCGCACTAAATCCGTAGGGTGTTTTTGTCACCCAGTTAGACAATTAGACACCGTAAATGGTGGTGAAGTCGTCTAAAGTACCTTTCACAAGGGCACAACGTCGGGCCACGGTGAGTATCGAACCCGGGACTTATTGGTTCCGAGTCCAACGCTCTAACCGTTGCGCCACCGACGCCACGCGTCGTCTGTTGACATTAATTACAGTGGTTGTCCCAAACGGTTTCCAAACAATGTGTTCTATCTGTTTAGTTCCTCTTTCGATCGTAACTCCAGCTTAATTTGTCAGTGACGATTTTTCCTTGTCAATGAACCAGATTTAAGTGAAAACAGACGCGCCCTCAGAACGACTCCGCAAGTTGCCTTGCTGTGTTGTGTGCACCATACGTCAGCGCAGCAGGTCAAGGCCGACCGTTCATTCATCAGTACAACAACAAACCTACGCCTACGTACCTTTCGAGAGAAACAGTGCTGTTAAAGTTGTTCAGTGTGTACAGGTAGCTGCATTTCGGTCTTTGAAGGAACTTGTACACAGACGGTAGTCGCTCGCTGTAGTAGTTAACTTAGTCTCAGCAGCCGTTCCCACCAATACGTATACAAAACGCCCAAACTGCTAATGAGACAGCCAAAACATGCGGCAGAAACGGGCGGGGGGTTCCCCTACACAAACACACACACACACAGACAAGGTTTAAACAGATTTGCTCGAGGGTCTGGGTTTACATATTGCAAAAATAAGATTTATGCAGTGGGTAGTTGCGAATAGTACACAGACGTTTTGAACGAAAAACAAAGCATTCTAAATTGCGGCACACCCCTAAATATATTGACTGTACACACATCTATAGCTAACTACGGCACCGCCCAGTGTTGAGAGATTCCAAATCACCCACGTTACCTGCCCACTCATCCAGCCAAACAAGGGCCCTTCACTGATTATTCTACAATTTGAAATATACGAAATGTACATTAGTGGCCACTAAATGAAAAAAAAAAATTAAATGCCTGTTTCACTGTAACCCTACCACAATTGTGGGGCGTGTGGCGTAGCGGTAGCGTGTTCGGCTCAGGACCAAGAGGTCCGGGTCACCGATCTTGTGTCCTTGGAAAAGGCACTTGACACGACTTTCCTTACTTCACTCAGGTGTGAATGTGTCCCTAGCTTCGGTTAAGGACGTCCCTCGGATAGGGCGTTACATGGAGGTCCCGTCACAGAACGTAACCCACCGCACTTATCACCAAGTAGGGGTCCTTCCCAGTGTGAGTGGTTCAAACCTTACAGTCCCGTCTTACACAGCTTGTACAAAACTGGTGTGTTACGCCTAAAGGCAGTTAACCGGTTATACGAAGCAAACAAACAAACAAAGCAATCAATTCAGTGCATATTGCCATGTTATATCCTCAGGGAAAAGGGGTCATCTGGTCAATTTCAAGGGTTAAATAAATGAATTCAAACATTTCAGCATTTGCTGAAGTTAACAGCTGGCCAATCATCTTCATACATAGCAGAGGTAATTATATATTTCTTGTGCACTCAATCTATTTTCGCTGACTTACTTCCTCAACTTCTCCTACCTCAACCCGGAAGAGGAAATTTCTGCTTGCACATGTTAACCCGGAAACAAACACAGCGTTTCCTCTAGCAAACTTCCGCCATATTGGATTTGGAGGTCATGACCCAATTGCGAGTATAGATAACGATTTTGATATTTTCACGTTTAATTATGTTTTTGTCTTGTTTTGTACGGTACTGTTTAAACTGTCGTATAATAATTGTTTATTGATTGATCGATGAGTACAATATCTAGCATGTGGCAGCGCAACTAAAAAAGTAGCACTGAATTGCATGCTAGTGTTTAAAAACAGAGAAACAAATATTGCATAGTTAACAAATAGACAACTAAACAAGTGTGTATTTCACAGTTAACATATAGACAACTAAGCAAGTGCGTAAAATGAGCTTCACAATATTCGCAATATCAACCAATAAGTTATCAATATCATCAGTGTAAAAAATAATAATTTTTTAGCATGTTACATGAAAACTAATCTTGATAGGATTGGTCATGGGAGATTTACTATGTGCCATATTTGTTTAATAGGTTTGTAAGATAAGGGATCGGGCTATTTTTATATCGATTTGTTTTGGGGAGGGGGGCAGTGAGCTGGTTAGTCTGTTTGCATGTTCTGATGTGGATAGTCTCACGGGATGGGGGTAACCAGGGTCTAAAGGGGGAACGGAAAAGGGATCTGGCAAATTTCAAACTTAGGTCCTCCCTCCTCTTTTCAAGGGTATGTGGTATGTAAGTGGTATGTAATATTGTATATGATAATATGATAAGAATGCACCCAGGGCCACTCCGAATGGCAGTGGTTAATCACCGATGAGTGTCACCTTGGATAAAGAACACAGAAATGAATAAATTGTGTGTATTGTGAACTTGTCTTTTTTCTCAATATCTAGCTACATAAGGCTATGAATAAAAAGACCAGATTGTGTGTATCTTTTACTGTATTTAATTGTCAAGAATTCAAAAGAATATTATAGATGACACCTATAGACGGATATTATTTAAACCCTAATAATTATTGTCTTATTTTTAAAGGTCGTTGACCAATGTCGTCAATATAAAACCAAGCCATCTTATACTATTCTTTAGCTGTTAAACGATACTTGCAGTATCCTACTTGTCGGTAGGAGACGCTACCCCTTTAATATGACATAGTATGTATTGTGACACGTTCAATACACAATATCACTTATTTATTAATTAAGGACGCCCAATCTTCTCTCCTACATACAGATTGGCGAATACGTATGTATTGTGTCATTGTATTATTTATAAGTATCTGATGTTCTTAACAATCCACTTAGATAAACTGTATAAAGGTAGAATAAAGAATGAGGTATTCGGTCACCAGTAATAACCATACAATAGAAAAATTATGTGAATTTATCTTCAATTACATTAAAAAGAGAAAATAAATCTTCAAGTCCTAGATTAGTTTATTTTCTAATAGTTGTTAAGACTTTTACGTTATTCTGTTATCCTTGTATCCTATTCATATTCATATTATTATCATATTTATCATCTTCGCCGCTCTCATCACAGCTTATTATATTAGTTACCATTACCAGATATATAATCTACAGCGTTTTATTTGAAGAACATTAAATTGCGTGTTTATGGGAGGTTTATTAGGGAATAGAAATTAGGTATCGAAAAACTTGAATAATCAATTATCATAGGAATAGCGAAACCAATAATACAAGGAAGGATTAATCAAGTTGTCACTTATCAATTTAACAGAATTATTGTTTTTCTAGAGGCTTCTTACTTCCATAATACCTGCACTTCGTTGATACTGTTTCAGTCTCATATCATGTGACAACCCCTACATGCTATATATATTGATATATATATTAAAGACTGTAGGGATATTAGAAAATCCTCCAACGATTGTGTAAGTTGATATCTCATACAAGCCATCCACTTTTGTATTAGTTAGGTTATGAAAATGTAGTTCATATGTACTTAATTAAGTTAGTAGATGCCATACTTTGTACCCTCAGTACAACTGTTGCGCAATAAAAGTTATTATTATCATGCTCATCGGCCCACAATTATGCAATTACACTTGAGCCAACAAGCTTGAAATTTTCACGTTATGGTTTTTGTGACGTCACACCACAAACATACGTCCTGCCTTCCGCTGTGATCCTTCCATTGCTTCAGCAACTTACTCAAAGATCCAGCGATCTCTAGATTTTCACCTTGCCGCAAACATAATCTAAGGAATAAACCATCTTTCCAACATTTAAAAGTCGGCATAATTTATAACGGTTTATAAGAATGTGAAGAATCTAACAGTGAATAGTTGAAACTGATGACGCGGATGAAATCGGACGTACCAAATCGTCTGTTTCCGCCATTTCCATCGCCTCGTAAGTAGAATCCATCACTGATATTCTTGATATTCCATTTATGTGTATTTTAGGAACAGTTTCAGCCGAAGGCCTGTCTCTCGTTTCGGCAATGTCCGTCACACATGTCTGATTTACAGTAAAAAATTCCTCATCCGTGTTCTTCAATACAAACTTTCTAAACAGATGAACGGCGTAGTCTTTGATTTTCTCGTTTTCTGACTTCCCACTGATCTCTTCCTCCTCGATGACTTCTTGGAAGGCGTCGTCAAAAATGGCCAGAAACATCATGACCAGGACGTTGGGGAAAAACAAGACGAAGCAGAACAGCATCAGCGGTCCGAGGACGCCGCCTGCCGACTCTACCGAGTAGTAGTCCATTTTTCCGAGCATGACAGAAAACAAAGTCTGCATGGTTCCGACGAAAGTGCTGTACAGACTCAGCCTGGAGCCGAGAGCCAGAAACCCGAGCATACAAAACGCCATGAACAAAAAGCTAAATACAACTATGAAGCTGAGCAACGGTTTCAGTGCCTTTCTCGTTACTTTTGGTCCACGCGCGATCCTTTTGTTGAATCGGCAGAGGTACAGCATCTTCAAACACGCCACACAGACCAGCCAGCCGAGAATGTACGTGTTGATTTTCTCCCAGCTTGCAGCTTGTTTGTACTTGTTGTATCTGTGGGGTGAAACGAATCAAACGTCATTAAATATTCTGAAACAAAATACTTTAACGATAGAAGGTAGGACAAACAACATCCAAACATCGCATTGCATTACACTGACAATATAATATCGTCCGTTTCGTAGTCAGAGTATTAGAGTATTCTTGTATATTCCATTGTCTTCACTTTTTTTTTGTGTAAAAGTAGGTAAATCGAGTTGCCATATATTGTATCTTCCACAATTGTTGAGCGATAAAGGCCTTCTCCCAATCTGAAAAGTTCTCTGTGATACGGTGTGAAACCTACGTACCCTTTGATACATAGAGTGTGGATTCTATAGCAATGAAATACCTCAAATGTGGTGAATGGCATGAAGAAAGTTTTAATGCATAGGTAAAATTTCAATGTTTATCATAGATGTACTTTTTTTATTCATCAAGACATCAAAACATAACAAGGACAGTGTGGCGCTCAAGTTTATAACTTATAATGTTAACAGCGCCACACAACAAAAAAGTACAATTAACATGTAAATACACACAGTTAACATATCAGTGCGCCGTAGTCCCACCACCATAAGACATTAAAAATGCTAATGCAAAAAAATTTATTTGAAAATTAAAATTATATGTTAACCTCCTATATCTCATTGGCGGAAACACATCCGCCAATCAGAGCTAGAAGGAGAATTTAGGCCCATTAACACATGTAATATTTGGACTTCTATATCTAATTGACTGTTAGAAACAGTCAAGCAGAGCTAGAAGCGCTTGGTATCTCCAATGTAAGTCTGAGTGAGTTGCATCGTTTTAAAGTTGTACATAGAGGGTAACAATGATATAGTTTATCATAGATTCACTGTTATATTTCACATCCTTACCTACGATCTCCACTGTTGTCATTATCCTGGACTCTAACTTTGTTGAAGCCGAGAATCAGGTAGGCGGTATAAAGGTGAACCCCGATTTCCGCCAGAGCCAACAAGGACAGCACGAGCTCCACTACACGCCAGAACATCTTGAAGTATTCCGTTCCCAGCGTCAGTATGCGGCGCATACTGACGCTGATAGAGAGGTTTAAGTAAAGAAATGTCAATGTGTTGCATAAAATAGTCAGTTTCATGCAACCTTCAATGTGCTCTAAACAAAGGTAAAGGTATAAAAAAGTAGGGTATAAATGAGTATGAAAAAATGACCCATAACCATAGCGAGCTATTTTTTTCACCTCCATGAAAAATGGAGGTATTGTTTTTGGCCTGTCTGTGTGTGTGTCCGTGTGTGTGTCTGTGTGTGTTTCCGCACATGTAACTTCAGAACGCCTTTATGGATTGTGATGATATTTGGTATGCAGGTAAGTCTTAGGAAGACGAAGGTTAAGGTCAAATATGGGCTTCCTGGTGGATGACCTTGCAGAACGTCCAGTTTTTGTATCTTTTGTCCTGAACATGCTATGGTCTTGATGTTTTGGTGACAGATAGCTTATCCTGTCAGGAATAAGTGGTTTAAGTTTGGTCTCCCTAGAAGCTTGTTAGTTTGCAAGTTAGTTTCTGGTAAAAACTTTAAAAGCCAATTAGTCAAGATAGGAACAACGTTTTTTTTAGCATTTTTGGTATGTAGGTAGCTGGGAGAGAGAGAGTTACTTTTAACACCTATGCATATATTATCTTAATGTGGATGTCATTTTCATAATTAATGATTACATGTTGAGATGAAGCATGATAAAGGAGAGGAATTCTACTCGAAAAATATTCTAATTTTAATTTAGAAAACCATAAATTAAACCAGATTATGCTAAGTACGACCTTATTTCCATAGTCAATGAGACAATTTAAAAACTATTTACAAAAATTTAGATATTTCATGGAGGTATGAGATCTACGAATTCTTGTTTGCTACTGTAACAGTGTATTGATCCTCTTAATGACATATTCAATGATCTTATTAGCGCAAAAATAACTGATATGGAGGATATGTACTGAGGTAAATAATCAGAAAAAAAACAGGTCTGCATCTGCATCTGTACAACCGGTATAACCAGCCTTTAACGTAACATACAAGTTCAAGTTAATTGTCCAACGTTTCCGTTATTTTGTTATGATACGCAACATTCGATTGGTTTTCTTAAAGAATGTATTGTATAGTATCACAATTAGCCGCATCCTACCTTCTGTAAATGTAAGATACAGCGTAATAAGTAGGAAGAGTCCGTGACATCCCAGCGTAACGAACCCCCAGGCTGCGGTGTACGGGTACAACCGGACCACCATAATCTGAAAACATACAGAAAATTCTTTTCTCTAAAATATATTTAAAAAAGTGTCTACTAAGAAGATCAAAATGAGAAAGTTGCAGACGACATTCGCCATCTTTATACAGATCTAAACGATTATGTAAATGATAGTAATCAGGAACCCGAACTGTTTCGTTAATAGGCCCTAATATTTATNGGGCATGAGTCATCACAATGGAATGCAGGGCATCAACCAATAGGCATGAAGCTTTCCTCTATTCTTCTTGCTGATTGGCTGTTTGGGATTTAACTTGATCAACACCTGCACAGAGCATTTCCACCTGCACAGAGCATTTCTTGCTGATTGGCTGTTGGGATTTAACTTGATTAACACCTGCACAGAGCATTTCCATACTGACAGTATGTCTGTATTCAAGTGTTTTGGTAGGTATTTCAAGCTTTCCTGCTCCAGCATTGGAATGCGGGGCATGGACGTTTTTTTTTTTTGAAAATCAACAGTTTGCCTTATGCAATTAAAAATCCTAACCAATAAAGTAGGGAATAGCTATCCAACTGTTGTTTTAGTTGTATTTTACTTAATATTATAGTTATATCAATGTAAATCATTGTTCTCCCTTGTGTTTCTCATTCTTTCCCTGCCATGTCGTAAAATGTGGTGAACCCATCGCTGTATTTGCTCCAAAGCAAATATTGGCCTTTCTAGTATTTACATGAATTGACGACGATTTTTGTTTCCGTCATAAAATACAGAAATGTACCAACAGTTTTCATTTGCTGAAAATTCTAATGTTGAAAGTGGTGGTAAAATTTCAAAACCTTACCTCGCCTTGACCGTAGGCTTTCCCTAATGTGGTAAACTCAGCTAGCAACGTCAAAACCGCGAACAGGTTTGCGTTTGCATTGTACACTATGAACTCTATGAAAACTGCCCTCGTGTTGTCGTCTATCCAGTCCATTTCCTGCAGTTCATCTATCAGTTCCATGTCGGCGCTGCTGCTGTTGGATAGTTCCACCAGGTAACCACCGCCGTGGTAGGTACCATGTTTACCAGAGTCAGGAACAGCCGCTGCAAATGACAATAGGCCGGGGTGCTGTTTAGTATGAAACACTATCAACGTCGATACATAAGGTAGAAGCATCAAAATATGAAAGTGATAGTAGGGTTGAAGCAAATAATTTGATTGGTTGACATTTTGTAAGAGAATGGTGACTTGTAACTTGTAACTCTTTCATGTAAGTATACTTTTATGTAGGTCACAATCACTTTACGTTTGTGACCCCGTTTTAGCAGTAACACATAGTTTTAGTGCACAGTGAACCAGTAACACCTAGCTTCAATAAACAGTGAACCAGTAACACCTAGCTTCAGTACACACTTAACCAGTAACACCTAACTCCAGTGCACAGTGACTCAGTAACACCTAGCTTCAGTACACACACTCAACCAGTAACACCTAGCTCCACTGCACAGTAAACCAGCAACATCTAGCTTCATTGTACAGTGAACCAGTAACACCGATTTTCGGCTGACAGTGAACCAGTTACATCTAGCTTCAGTGCACGGTGAACCAGTAACATCTAGCTCCAGTTCACAAACCCAACCAGTAACACCTAGCTTCAATAAACAGTGAACCAGTAACACCTAGCTCCAGTGCACAAACTCAACCAGTAACACCTCGCTTCAATAAACAGTGAACCAGTAACACCTAGCTCCAGTGCACAAACTCAACCAGTAACACCTAGCTTCAATAAACAGTGAACCAGGAACACCTAGCTTCAGTGCACACACTCAACCAGTAACACGTAGGTCCACTGCACAGTGAACCAGTAACACCTAGCTTCAGCGCACAGTGAACCAGTTGTAACAAACGGTCTTTCTGCGTGGGTAGGATTTGGTCTACAGTTACGATTACAGTTACGATTACAGTTACGATTACGGTTACAATCCTTAGACTCGACGTGTCTGGGTCACGTGCTCTCACCACGTGACCCCAGACTGTCTAATGCAGTAATTGGCCTGTTACACCATCCCCCGCCACACGTAATGATGCTCCCGCATCATTAGCTTAACTAAGTAACTAACTAACTAACTACGTTACAGAAGAAAAACCAACTGACGTAATCTTAAATCAAAGTGAAACATCTCGATTTCAGCTTATAATAACTAAAGTTGGTCAATTCAACTGGCATCCAGGAGAACATAAAAGCAGAAAATAAAACCAATACAATACAATACAATACAAAACAGAAACGAAATAGAACCTAAGCCGGAACACATCTCGCAAGGCCAACACTGTTATCGTTGTGCAAAACAAAAGCGCAGCATAACTTACAGCAATCATCAATAAGCATAGCAATACAGCATAAATAGTCAGTACACATATTCAAAATCCATCACCAGTAAAAACCATAAACAATATACATATTCATAATACAGCATAAGCAACGCAAAAATCAATACATAATCAAATACAGTCTAACCAAAGCCATACATAATCAAATACAGTCTAACCAAAGCAATACATAATCAAATACAGTCTAAAGCAAAACAACCAGAGTACACAAAAGGCTACAGCATAAGGCGACGCAATCATTCGGGCACGTAAGCAAATACAACGTAAGCACCGTGACATCAGTCAAATACATTAAGTCAAAATACAGCATCATCAAAGCAGTCATGAGAATAAGACATCGGGCAGGAGATCAGCAATCAAAGGAAACAATTATTTCTCCACATTTCAATAACAACCGGTTTGACAGGCATCAAAATTTACCAGATTTCAGATCAGATCAGGTTTCCACCACCAGAACATACTTAACATACCAAAACTTAACATACCAAAGTTTACCAAAGTCCGGGGTCGCTTTGACCACCGGACATAACTAATATAACAAACTCTTACCAGAGTACAGGATCGTTTTAACCACTGGACATACCAATCATACCAAAGTTACCAAAGTCCAGGGTCGTGTACGATCAGTTTCAAACCTAATATAACAAACTCTTACCAGAGTACAGGATCGTCGACGTCTCGACGATCATTTCAAAACCAAAGCAAATCAAAAATACTTAGCACAGACAGACCATTTCTAACCCGGTCGAGACAGTTAGAGCGTTTTTGCTCGGGAGCCCACCGTGTTTTGCGGGGGTTCCATGACTGCAGGACGGGGAGGGGACTAGGAGCGCCCAACGTTCGGAAGGGACAACGGGACCCATCGAGGAGAAGAACGAGGCAACCCCACTACCTAACTCCCTGGGAAGTTGGCCGTAAAACAAGCTACGATTCCTACCTTGCTGATCCATAGAATACCTGATCTCATCGAAAAAGGGAAAATATTTCCGCATCTTATTCAACAAGAAAATACACAGTGAAAGAAAAAACGAGAAAGGAAAACTTTTCCAACCGTAGACGGAGGTCCGTTGATGGAAAAGGTGAGTTTTGCGTGACCCCAAGGGAAGAGACTAGCAGCGTGATACTGCGGTACACGTCAAGCGGACGAGAAACTTGCCCTATGCTCATACAATTACTAGAAAGAGTGGTGGCCCTGACGGGAAGAGTGCTAGTCGCCCGCACTCTCCCGTGGTAAGCGAACCCACAGAGACCCCTAGGCTCACATAGAACCGACCGGTGGGGTGGCAGAGGTTTCTCGTTCCAAATTTGGACGTGACAAAAAGGAAAACAAGGGGGTACTTGAACGTCACCAACTACACATACATGGAACCTCAGACGAAAGGAAAAATTTACTTTTCAGTAGTTACATGGACATAATAACCATAACACTAGATAGAGAAACTTTCCAGTTTTGGTGGGCGATTGAAGGCCCGAACTAAGGATGACATCAGGTGGGTGACTGGGCTCCAGCTGTTAGGCAAGGAGTCGTGAGCTACGGACCTCGAGGGAGGGGGCGAGGGGTCCACCTCGAGCGATTCCCCCCGGGGACCCGGCCTATCCGAAGGAGGGCCCTGGCCAGTCAGCCCCTCGTCCTGAGAACAATCTGTATTTACCTGGCATACGTTGGGGTGGAGATGGTCAGTCTCGCTATCACTATAACTAAGAGGAACATAGTCCGGTACAGAAATGGAAGTGTTCATGTGTTCTGGACGGTTCCGACGAGGGCTGGGTCGTCGCCGTAGAGAGGTGGTGGGAACGGTCGTACTGGTGGTTGGCAGGACAGGCACAGGCGGCGTTACTGGAGTCTCGGCCCCTGACGTCCGCGGGACAGGCACAGGCGGCGTTACTGGAGACTCGGCCCCTGACGTCCGCGGGACAGGTACAGGCGGCGTTACTGACGTCCGCAGGACAGGCACAGGCGGCGTTACTGACGTCCGCGGGACAGGCACAGGCGGCGTTACGGGAGACTCGGCCCGGGCCGCCCCTGGCGTCGGCAGCAGGACAGAAACCGGTGGCGGGACATGAACGTCGGTCGCTGGCGCAGACGGTAGGACAGGTGCCACCGGAGTCAGTACTGGTGTCCCCCGGGAGTCGGAGTTAGGTGAAGCTGGAAAGGAAGAAGAAAAGGGTCCCGCGGACCGAAGTCCATGCGGGGTTAATGGTCCCGACCCGGAGTGGGTGGTGGTCGCGTCAGCTAGTGCGGGAGTGTCGTAGTCGCTGCGGATAGGGAGAGATGGTGGATGGTTATTGCGGCCCTTATGGCCCGGACTATATCTCAGAGGACACTGTCTTTTCCAGTGGCCAAGTCGGTTACACAAGAAGCATGGATGAGTCCTTGGCGACCTGGGGCCCCTGTATCTACTGGAGGAATGGTTACTGGCAAGACGCTCCCGAAGGCCGTTAAGGGAACACACAAACAGTCGGCACAGTGTTGCAATTTGTTCTTGCTGTGTGCGTTGCACCTCTAATACAGCTCGCCCCATTGCGACCACCAAACCACTGAGTGCTTTGTCATCCACTTCCGAGAGTTTGGACCAATTTGGAATGGAAAATGGTATCGACGACCTTATACCGGCACCAGGCGAAGACCATATCATGCCCTGACCCTGGTAGGCACCCAAAACAAATTGTCCTTTCATTTCCGACATCTAATTGTACGCGGAACTGAAATATAACCACAGACGAGACAACAGACCTGTAAAAATTGACACCAATTCCTGTAGACGTTACACAGGACCCGTGCAAACTAACAGATGAATGCTGATTATTTAAACCGGCTATTTTTGCATTAGCAACAACCAAGTAAAACAACGGACGGGCAATAACACAACATCAGCCACGTGGAATTATGAGTCGGATGACAAGGAATAGAAATCGACACTAGACAAGAAAAACAATCCTAAATCCGCACAAGCAAAGGATTAGGTGCCTCACAAAATACAAGGAAGGAAAACAGAAGGTGCCCACCTCACCGGCCTGCGATATGCATTGTCTACCTGAAATAATTAACCACAGGGTACAACGACAGAGACTATTAACCAAAAGTAGACTGCAATGTCCGACACAAAACAGGGGCACGGTGAGCGGTCAGATCAAACAACAGGGTTAACGTACGACGACTGATATTTCCTATTAAACAATTACCAAAAACCGACAAAAAAAGATCAAACAAGGATTACAAAACAAGAAACAAGAATTGTGAATCTGGCCAAACACAGACGTTACGGGGTAAACATTACAGGTTCATCACCAACTGCAGTAGACAAAACTTGCGACTTAACAAAACTTGCGACTTAACTTCCTACAAGTAGTACAATCAATCCGAGAAGATCAAACAAAAATGCATAAATTCATCAACGGACAATCCAATCAAGACGGAACATACTAGTAAGACAGTAACCATCTCCGGGCTAGAAAGAACAACAAAGTAATCAAGAACGGCAACAACGGAGTCTACCCATCCACACGCCCAAAAATGTCAAAACCGCAGAAATGTGATCAGCGGTGCCCAGAACAAACATGTGCATAGTTACAACAATTGGGCAGAAAAAAAAACCTCAGGGGAAGTTTTGATTAGATTACAACACAGCGTCAACAATGCAAAAACAACATGTACTAATTTGGAAAAAAAAACACGTCAATGTGGAATGCAACAGAGAGTCGGCGACACAAAGCGACGCCGAGATTGGTGTGGCGCCGCGAAAGACGATGCCGACGGTTCACAGGTAAGTGGTGGCCGAATGGAAATTTGGCTAGGACGACGACGGGCGACGGCCGTCTGACTTACAAGAAAGTGAGAACTAAAAACAGAGGTTTTGGCGCTCTCACCGCCAAGGCCCGGGTTCGATTCCCGGTGTGGGAACCATGTAACAAACGGTCTTTCTGCGTGGGTAGGATTTGGTCTACAGTTACGATTACAGTTACGATTACAGTTACGATTACGGTTACAATCCTTAGACTCTCACTCTAAGGCACAAGTTACTAGACTCTCACTCTAAGTAACACCAAAGCCAGGTCGATTTATATTTGATGTGACTTTATTGACTAACTGCGGTATGAGATACAAAGTAATGCAACATAGAATGGAACTACAAATACAAAGTTATACAACGGAACAGTTACAAAGTTACACACAAATACCAAAGTAAGACAAAGACAACTACATAAACTACTACTAACCTAAACCGGTGTGCTGGAACGGAGCTTCCGAGAGGCGAAGAACTTGGATCTAGGGCGCGTCCCGCTATTTTATAGTGCGCGCAGAAGGGCGGGGCGACATTTGCATGGCGGAGGCGGGGTCAGGCTTTGACCAATGACGTGTCTGGGTCACGTGCTCTCACCACGTGACCCCAGACTGTCTAATGCAGTAATTGGCCTGTTACACCATCCCCCGCCACACGTAATGATGCTCCCGCATCATTAGCTTAACTAAGTAACTAACTAACTAACTACGTTACAGAAGAAAAACCAACTGACGTAATCTTAAATCAAAGTGAAACATCTCGATTTCAGCTTATAATAACTAAAGTTGGTCAATTCAACTGGCATCCAGGAGAACATAAAAGCAGAAAATAAAACCAATGCAATACAATACAAAACAGAAACGAAATAGAACCTAAGCCGGAACACATCTCGCAAGGCCAACACTGTTATCGTTGTGCAAAACAAAAGCGCAGCATAACTTACAGCAATCATCAATAAGCATAGCAATACAGCATAAATAGTCAGTACACATAGGCAACATATAATGGAAGTACAAATACAAAGTTATACAACGGAACAGTTACAGG